ATTCTTCATGGAGAAGAAGGATGGCACTTTGAGACCTTGTATAGGATTATCGGGACTTGAACAAGATCACGGTCAAAAGCCGTTATCCTCTTCCTCTGATCCCTGAGTTGTTCCAAAGATTGCGAGGAGCATGCTTTTTCTCAAAGTTGGATCTGAGGGGTGCTTATAATCTAGTAATAATTTGGGAGGGAGATGAATGGAAGACAGCCTTCCGAACCAGATTCGGGCACTTTGAGTATCTGGTAATGCCCTTTGGTTTTCTGCAACGCCCCAGCAACCTTCCAACACCTGGTAAATGATGTTTTTCAGGACTACCTGGATATATTTCTAATCGTGTATCTGGATGATATCTTGTTTTTTTCTTGTTCCATGACCATGTAAAAAAGACACTGGAGAGAGACTACGCCAACACCACCTCTATGCAAAAGCTGAAAAATGCGAGTTCGAGAAACAATCTATCAAATTCCTCGGGCTGGTGATCACTCCGGAAGGCATCTCCATGGACCCTCAGAAGGTGTCCGCCGTCTTGGAATGACCCATCCCTGAAGATAGGAAAGCTGTGCAGTGCTTTATAGGCTTTGCAAACTTTTATAGGAAGTTTATCAAGGACTTTTCTGGAATCCTAGCGCCAGTGACACAGCTCACCAGGCAACATGTGCCCTTCAAATGGACTCCTGAGGCCCAAACAGCCTATGAGCAGCTAAAGATCATGTTCACAACTGCACCCATCCTGAAACACCCTGACCCTGCCCTAGCCTTCATCCTTGAAGTTGATGCTTCAGAAAACGCGGTAGGAGCCATCTTGTCACAAAGGCAGGGGCCCAAATCCCTTTCTGCATCCTGTCGCTTTCTTCTCCCGGAAATTTAACATCTCTGGGAGAAATTATGATGTGGGAGACAGGGGAATTACTAGCCATCAAAGCAGCATTAGAAGAATGGCGCTATTTACTAGAGGGAGCAGCCCATCCTATTCTCATCTTTACTGACCACAAGAATCTAGAGTACCTGAGAACTGCAAAACGACTCAGGCCATGACAAGCTAGGTGGGCACTAATTTTCTCGCTTCATCTTCCATCTGACCTACCGTCCAGGATCAAAGAATGGTAAACCTGATGCACTCTTCCGCATGTTTCCTGACCCAGTTGTTCAGTCAGAACCCGATACGATCTTGCCAGCCAAGAACTTTCTACTTCTGCAAACGGATCTTGTAACTCAGATAAAAGAAGCCATGGACAATATCCCACCTCCTGTAAATATGCATCTACAATTTAAGGATGGCCTGTACTTCCACAAGGGACAGATCTTTGTGCCCAAAGGACTTCGAGCACATATTCTCCAGAGATGTCACAACCATCCCTTAGCAGGTCACTTTGGGATTCGCAAAACATCTGATTTAGTCTCTCGCTCTTTTTGGTGGCCTAACGCAGCAAAGGATTGCCAAGACTATGTAAAATCGTGCACAGTCTGTCTGAGGAATAAGTTGGATAGAGCCAAGACTTGGGGCCTGCTGGAATCCCTGCCTGTACCAGAAAAATTTTGGAGCATGATGTCCATGGATTTTATTGTGGAACTCCCGCCATCTGAGGAATTCACCACTATTTTAGTAGTAGTTGACCGCTTGTCCAAGATGGCCCACTTCATTCCCTTGAAAGGGACTCCTTCCGCTACAGAAACGGCTTCCGCTTTCATCAAGGAAATTGTAAGGCTACATGGTGTTCCCTTAAATATTGTGTCTGATCGAGGGGTACAATTTACGTCTAAATTTTGGAAGGCTCTGTGTGAGGTATTAGAGATCGAGTTTCGCTTCTCCTCTGCTTATCATCCTCAAACAAATGGACAAACGGAGAGGACAAATCAAACGCTGGAGCAATACCTCCGATGCTTCTCCTCGTACTCACAGGATGACTGGGCATCACTCCTTCCTTTAGCGGAGTTTGCATATAATAACTCCATACATTCCACCACCAAACAATCCCCCTTTTACTCTAATTATGGATACCACCCCTCCTTTCTTCCAGAAATACCAGTGGAGGCCGCTATCCCGGCAGTAGAAGAAAGGATGGAGTTCCTCAGGAGGAATGGCAAAATATTACAAAAAATGATTTCTGAGGCCCAAGAGAGTAACAAAAAATTTTTTGATAGAAAAAGAAGGGGCAACTTGAAACTAAAACAAGGGGATAAAGTCTGGCTGTCCATGGCTAATCTGAAATTAAATTGTCCATCAAAAAAGCTGGGTCCGAGATACCTGGGACCATTTTCTGTCTAGAGAAGGGTTAACCCTGTAGCATTTGAATTGGAACTACCAGCTAACCTAAAGATCCACCCAGTATTTCATTGTTCTTTACTGAAACCAAACTTCCCAAGTGGGTTCCCCAAACGGAATTCTGAGGCACCTGCTCCACTGTTGGTGGATGGAAATGAAGAATAGGAAGTGGAGGCTATCTTGAACTGTAGGAAGAGGGGCGGACAGACCCAGTTCCTCATCAAATGGAAGGGTTATGGACCTGAGGATAACTCCTGGGAACCGTCCACCAATGTCCATGCCCCACGGATACTTCAAGCCTACCTCTGTCGTCATCCCTTTCCTTCCATGTACCCCCTCCTCTTTTGTCTCTTTTTTTCTTTCTTGATTGCTTATTGTAAGCTCCCTCTGTCAGACTAGGGGGCCCTTTTTTTCCATATTTCTCCTTATTTTCACTTATCTACAGATGACCACAAGCAAGCGATTATATCTCTCAACCCACAGTACATTACCAATCAGATTTGTGACTTACTGTAGCTTTACTTGCTAATATGTCCATGGCCTTTCCTAACTGTCCCCATTGGTTATAATGTCTTAGGACTAATGTGATTTTGTTGAATTTCACTACCTGATTCAAATGTGGTAGCTCTACCAGCAAATAGAGCATTTTATGCTTTTGCACTTATTTTACTTTGTACAATGGTCATCTGCATTTTGTACATAAATTCTATGTATACTGGTTGTATGTTTGTTTTGCTTTTTTCAATAAAAAATAAGTAAAAAGAAAATCGCTCCAAAAGAAAGTGAAACACATGGTTGTCAGTAGGGTCACTAGAACTAGTGTCCCCTCTATTTCTGTTCTGGTGTCCACTCAAAATTTGGGAATTTTTTTTACATTAACTTTTGGTGGGAACAGTCACCGGAACAAATAGAGAGGGTGAATCTCCCTAACAGGGACATAGACAGCACTAAAAACCTGACGTGTTATAATCCCTCTCTACTCCATCCAAAACTTAAAAGGTATAAAAGGTACATTTTAAAAGTTGCAGATGCACTTGTTACTACACTTACACAAACACATTTAAAGTGGTTGTAAAGGCTCAATATTCTTTACCTTTATGCATTCTATGCATGAAGGTAGAAAACAGTCTCTGTGCAGAAGAAGCCCCCAGTCCGCTCTAATACTCACTTAAGCCCCTTCTCGATCCAGCGATGTGCACTGGAGTCTCGGCAATCCCAGGACTCGTTCTCCTCATTGGCTGAAACAGCAGCATGAGCCATTGGCTCCTGCTGCTGGCAATCGCAGCAAGCGAGCCAATGAGAGGGGTGTGTGGCCAAGGTGTGGCTCCATGTGTAAATGGACACAAGGAGCAGCAGGAGCCCCCATAGCAAGCTGCTTGCTGTGAGAGCACCTGACAGGAGGGAGGGACTAGGACAGCCTGCGGGGGACCCAAGAAGAGGAGGATCCAGGATGCTCTTTTCAAAACCACTGCACACAGCATGTAAGTATACCATGTTTGTTATTTTTAGAAAAAAATGTAAGCCTTTATAGTTTTTTTTTATAGTGGTTAATGGTAGTGGTTATAATAAACAAAGTGGTTGTAAAGGATCAAGGTTTTTTACCTTCATGCATTGTATTCATGAAGGTAATAACCTATGTGCAGCGGCACCCCAACCCCCACCAAACCTTAATCGGAGCCGCCTCCGATCCAGGGGTGTTCTCAACAGCCTCTGCTGTCTGGGGACTCCTCCTCCTCATTGGCCAAGACAGCAACGGTAGCTCGCTGGCTACAGCTGCTGTCAATCACAGCCAGTGAGCCAATGAAGAGGGGGGGGGGCGACTCTATGTGTCTTATGGATGCATAGAGCAGCAGTTTGGGGATGAGCATGCAGAGGTGCCCCCAGGGCGAGCAGCTTTCCCTGGGGGCACTGCTGGAGAAGGAGGAGTCAGGAGTACCAGAGGGGGCCCAATAGGAAGAGGATTTGGGCTGCTCTGTGCAAAATCACTGTACAGAGCAGGTAAGTAAAGACAAAAAAAAAAAAGCTTTAGTGTCACTTTAAAAGAAAATGGGGCAAAGACAGAATAGCACACACAAATACATAAACAGCCTTGTGTAATACTTGCAAATCAGTGGCAGTACAGTGAGCAGATAATTACCACTTTGGCTGCCATGAATTAAATTTGCAGGTTACGTTTATTTATTGGTAAACACAGATGGCAGTTTAGACAAGACAGAATGAAAACACACACATCATTTAACCACTTGCCTACCAGGCACTTATACCCCCTTCCTTACCAGGCCAATTTTCAGCTTTCAGCACTGCCGCACTTTGATTGACAATTGCGCGGTCATGCAACATTGTACCCATATGAAATTTTGATAATTTTTTTCTCACAAATAGAGCTTTCTTTTGGTGGTATTTAATCGCCACTGGGCGCTTTACTTTTTGCGCTATAAATACAAAAAGTGCAAAAAATTTGAAAAAAAAAAAAGTTTCTTTGTTTCTATTATAAAAATTTTCAAACGGGTAATTTTTCTCCTTGACTGATGTGCGTTGATGAGGCAGCACTGATGGGCACTGATAGGCGGCACTGATGGGCACTGATAGGCAGCACTAAAGGGCACTGATAGGCAGTACTAATGAGGTGGCACGGATAGGCGGCTCTGATAGACAGCACTAATGAGGTGTCATGGATAGGCGGCACTAATATGCAGCACTGATAGGCGGCACTGATAGGTGACACTGATGATGGGTACTGATAGACGGCACTGACTGGCATCACTGCTGGGCACTGACTGGCGGCACTGACTGGCACAACCCCTGGGCACTGACTGGTGGCACTGACTGGCAGCACTGGTGGGTGGGCACAGGTGGGTGGGCACAGGTGGGTGGCACTTCTGGGCACAGGTGTGTGACACTGCAGAGTGGCACAGGTGGGTGCACTGCTGGGCACAGGTGGGTGATCTGCTGGGCACAGGTGGGCGGAGCTAGTGGGCGCACTGCTGGGCACAGGTGGGCGGAGCTTGCGGGTGGCACTGCTGGGCACCGATCATCAGGGCACTGATCATCAGTGCCCTGATGATCGGTGCCGATCCCCACTCTGACAACTGCCGATTCTCGGCAGTACTTTCCACACGATCTGACAGCGTGAGGAAAGTGCAGCCGAGAACCGGCACTTGCATTTTCCTCTGATCAGCGTGTCATTGGACACCGCTGATCACGTGATAAAAGGCCGCCGTGATTGGCCTTTTACCACATCACGTGATCAGCTGTGTCCGTAGGACACAGCGATCACGGAGATCGCCGGGTGCGCGCCGAGAGCGCGTTCTGGGAGGACGTCATATGACGTCCACCCAGAACTGGCCGGCCGCAGTGCAGCCGTCATTCGGCTATCTGCGGTCGGCAGGTAGTTAAACATAATGATCGATAAAACTATTTTGTTCCTGACTTTAAATTCATTGGTGAGTACGCCTTGAGACTGCATGGCCCAGCAACACATGGCCCATGACTATAGTCTATTGATTAGATGGAATAAAACCTGTTACCTCACAGCACTGCAACAGAATGGTACATCGTTTTTATTCCGAATCAAACTCAAATATCTAAAGAAGACATTCTAACAGTAAAACTGTAAAAATTTCCACCAGCTGTGTAAAACAAATGCAAATGCATAAAAGCAGTACCTGTAATATATAATATATATATATATATATATATATATATACACACACATACATATATATACACACACAGGTGAAACTCGAAAAATTAGAATATTGTGCAAAAGTTCATTTAATTCAGTAATGCAACTTAAAAGGTGAAACTAATATATGAGATAGACTCATTAAATGCAAAGCATGATAGTTCAAGCCATGATTTGTCATAATTGTGATGATTATGGCTTACAGCTCATGAAAATCCCAAATCCACAATCTCAGAAAATTAGAATATTACATGCAATCAATAAAACATATGCATGCTTATACTTTTCGGACCTCTGAAAAGTATAAGCATGCATATGTACTCAGTACTAGGTTTGGTCTCCTTTTGCAGCAATTACTGCCTCAATGCGGCGAGGCATAGAAGTGCCTGTGGCACTGCTGCTGAGGTGTTATGGAAGACCAGGATGCTTCAATAGCGGCCTTCAACTCTTTTGCATTGTTCGGTCTCATGTCTCTCATCTTTCTCTTGGCAATGCCCCATAGATTCTCTATTGGGTTCAGGTCAGGCGAGTTTGCTGGCCAATCAAGCACAGTAATCCCACAGTCATTGAACCAGGTTTTGGTGCGTTTGGCAGTGTGGGCAGGTGCCAAGTCCTGCTGGAAAATGAAGTCAGCATCCCCATAAAGCTCGTCTGCAGAAGGAAGCATGAAGTCCTCCAAAATCTCCTGGTAGACGGCTGCGTTGACCCTTGACTTAATGAAGCACAGTGGACCAACACCAGCAGATGACATGGCTCCCCAAATCAACACAGACTGTGGAAACTTCACACTGGACTTCAAGCATCTTGCAGTGTGTGCCTCTCCATTCTTCCTCCATACTCTGGGTCCTTGGTTTCCAAATGAGATGCAAAGGTTGCTCTCATCAGAAAAGAGGACTTTGGACCACTGAGCAACAGACCAGGTTTGTTTTTCTTTAGCCCAGGTAAGACGCTTCTGACGTATGTTGTACAGGAGCGGATAGACAAGAGGAATACGACATTTGAAGCCCATGTCCAGGATCCGTCTGTGTGTGGTGGCTCTTGATGCACTGACTCCAGCCTCAGTCCACTCCTTGTGAAAGTCCCCAACACTTTTGAATGGCCTTTTCCTGACAATCCTCTCCAGGCTGCGGTCATCCCTGCTGCTTGTGCACCTTTTTCTTCCACACAACTTTCTGTTAATGTGCTTTGATACAGCACTTTGGGAACATCCAACTTCTTTTGAAATTACCTTTTGAGGCTTTCCCTCCTTATGGAGGGTGTCAGTGATGGTTTTCTGCACAACTGTCAGGTCAGCAGTCTTTCCCATGATTGTGATTCCTACTCAACCAGTCTGAGAGACCATTTAAAGGCTCAGGAACCCTTTTTGCAGGTGTTATGGCTTAATTAGCTGATTAGAGTGGGACACTTTGAGCCTAGAATATTGCACCTTTTCACAATATTCTAATTTTCTGATATTGTGGATTTGGGGTTTTCATGAGCTGTAAGCCATAATTATCACAGTTATGACAAATCACAGCTTGAACTATCTTGCTTTGTATGTAATGGTTCGAATCTCAGCCACGGCACCTCCTGCCTGGAGTTTGCATGTTCTCCCTGTGCCTGCGTGGGTTTCCTCTGGGTACTCCGGTTTCCTCCCACACTCCAAAGACATGCTGGTAGGTTAATTGGCTCCTGTCTAAATTGGCCCTAGTATGTGTATGTATGAATGTGAGTTAGGGACCTTAGATTGTATGTCCCTTGAGAGTTAGGGACTGATGTGAATGTACAATATATATGTAAAGTGCTGCGTAAATGGACGGCGCTATAGAAATACCTGAAATATATATATATATAGAGTGAAGGAAATAAGTATTTGATCCCCTGCTGAATTTGAATGTTTTCCCACTCACAAAGAATGATCAGTCTAAAAATCAAATGATAAGCGTAGTGTAACACAGAGACAGAATAGCAACAACAAAATTCAAAAGAAATGAATGTCTAACAAATTGTTGGATCTGCATTTATTAGAGAAATAGGGAAATCATTTGCACAATCACCCAAGTCCTTTTCTGTCTTTATAACAACATAAATGAAGGCCATGGTTTCCTGGAAAGGTAGAGTTTAGCCATTTCTAATATTAGAAAAACTACAGATGAGAGGAGTTGACACTTCCACATAATTTTTTTTTTATAGTAGTGTCCTGAAAAGATACTTTAGATGGTTTTATTTATTTTAGCAGCTTTAATTTCAACCTTTTTGAAATCTTCAACTAGATTTCTGAAATTCGTCCAACTTAGGAAATTGCATCTAAATATATGTCCTGTATTAGGAGCACAAAAATATATTAATTTTGATTGCATGCTCATTAGTTTTACTATTAAAATATATGACGCTTCTTTATTCTTAATGACACATTGGGTTGTGAAGGACATTCTTTTAAATAAGAAAATAGGTAGGATATTTAGTATTAAACTATGTAAGAGCCAAGGAAAGAGAGAAAAAAGTTTCCTACAACTATTGGATGTTAATGCCCAGAGTGTTGTTGACAGTCTTTGGCTCTTTTGATAAGTTAATAAAGCCCTGTACATTGTGAGTTAAAACTCTGAAATTAGAAGTTTTTATGCTTAACAATATATTATTTTCATGTGTTGGCTATGAGGACGAGCCACTGGGTCAAGCTATACTGAATGGAAAGTTGGTGGAGAAGGGGAATGGTGGAGGTATTTTTTTTTCTTTTTTGCATCTTAGTGCTGCTGATCTTATGTGGGGTCTTTTCTGCTACTTCCTGTCTATATTCAGCTACTGCTGTGTTGGCTGCATATCATTGACATGGACTTGTTTACTGATGAAGACAATGGTAGACAATGACTGTGCAATGTGCGATAACACAGACACTTGCAGTCACAGCCAGGGACTCATGTGACAGAGTGACAGCATGGAGCACCAATGGAATACCACTGTTCCCTAATTTATAAACAAGGACCTGTACCTGTATTTGAGCTGGAAGCACACTCAATCATGTGCCTTCAGCAATATTGGGAGCCAGGATGACCAGCTTAAGATCACATGATCACAGTAATTGTGTTTATGTGATCCATGAAAAACAAAATGCATTATTGTTTCTGGACCCTACTACAGGTACAGTACATACAAATAATATTGCACAGATATGCAGTATCTCTGTTAACATCTTGAGTGGAAACATTTATTTAGGGTTGTTCTTTGGTGGTGGGTCCTAGCAAAGTTAAGATATATACAGCTACATTTTTTTTTTTACTATATTTACAGTTTTATTATAATAAAACAGAATCAGGAAATATCCCATTAAGATTTACCACCAAGTAAATGTCTGATTTATCCTGAAAAGAAAAAAAAACAAGGTATACTGTAAATCACCTGGATACATTAAAGGAGAAGTATAGCCAAAGCTATTTTGGCTATACTTCTCCAGTAGATCACAGGAGTGCAGTTCGTTCTGCTCTTCTGTGACCGGTTTTAACCAGACAGTGGGCTAAAACCCTCTGTCGGTTGACAACACTCAGTAAGTCCAGGCTCAGGACAGATCCCGACCATATGGTCAGGATCCATCCAGATTGCCTGGATTGGCCCCTGGCTCAGCCTCTCAATGATGCAGTGAGTACTGGAGGAGCAGAAAGTCAGAGACTGACAGTCAAGGCACTGCTAAGAGCAGCAAGGAGAACTGAGCGATCAGTGGTCGTAGATGGCTTAGTTCTCACTGTAGAGCCAATGAGAAACAGATAAAGCATCGAATCAGTGCTTCATCCACCTAGGTTAGTAGAAATCTTTTGTTTTTTTTTTAAAGTCCATACTTCTCTTTTAAGTAGTTGCAAAGATTTGCACAGTGATACTAATACATGCCAATGTTTTGACCTTCATTACTAAGGAGAAATATAAGCGTTGCAGATTTTAAAAATATTGAAAACATCTGAAATGCCATTGTGTAAACGTTTGTATTACATTTTAGGGATTGAGCTTAGATTTACTGATCAGGATGGCTGGAACTGAAGAACAGAAGCCAGAAACAAAGCAGACTTTAACAGAAAACTTTTTTTTGTGCACTTGCTCAGCAATTTTTGTTTATAGCACCAAAACACTAATACATTTATGCAGGACTCACATTACCTATGCTGTGTCTGGGGGGTGCACAGAGAAGACAGGGTGACAGAAGCCACCACACTGGAAAAAATACTTTACAAGATTTGGGTCATGTTATTGATATGATTGTGTAGCAGTTACAAAACCGCTCCACTAACATTTGTGCTGCTGGAAAATGGTGACCCGCAGACAGTTAAAGGTCTGTTAACCAGGTTCCAATGATTTTTAGCTCAGTTGCTGAGCTATTTATTTTTTGAAGCATTTGGAGCTAGTTACAGAATAACCAGCTCAGTTAAATATACTCAAAAGATGCCAGTGTTAATACAATTAACCTCTTACCTGCTACATGGGAGTTACTGACATTTCCTCAATTGGCAACAAC